TTGGCAGGCCACATTTTGCCCACCCTTGTATTAGAGTCTTGCAGCAAGCTCACATATCTTTACATGTTGTAAATCGGAACAAGTGCAGGGTCTAAAAATGTTGTTGCATGCCTGTATATTAAGAAACATGGTAAGTGGGATAATTGTGTTTTTGTTTTTTCATTTTGAGTACTTCAGTCACCTAAACTTTGGCTGTTTACCTAATATATTGCCCAATGGAGACGTATGTGTGTATATATTTCTGACAGCATTCCATGTCTCAAATAGCTGTTATTTCTTACTCTCAGTAGGTGCTTTTCATACATTTACATGTCTTTGGTAAAGCACTTTATAATTTTGACTGGCTTATGACAGTCTTCATGATTTGGTCTCTTGTATAGCTGAGCAATGATAGAAATTAATGCCCTTTGAGCACTCATGCTACAAATGCTGTACTTCTGCCAGGTCCTTGGGTACTAAGGAGCTTTGTTCCTTTCCTTTCAAGTTTTAAAATGTAGTCCAGTATGAAATATTTTACATTTTGGGCCTATTGAATTCCATTTATGTATTTGATCTTGTATGATTTTGGGAAATCTTGTTATTTTCCCATTTCTTGTGTAAATTAGTAAAAAAAAAGTTTGTTTTTTTCCCCTCACTCTATCCCTTACTTTACATTTTACTGATAATTTAAAGGAGTATTGATGGAACCCATCCTGTTTCACTTAAAGAACTGTTGGACTTGGATGTGAAAAGCGAATTTATAACTAAGAATTTGGTAGCCTGCATTTCTGCATTCCTGACAGTTCACCTGGCATATTATATGGGACTTCTAAGGTCATGGCCAGACTAAGTGTCTGAGGACAATTTAAAGATTTGCTTTCTTTTTAAATTAGTTTGAGGCTGTATTAGCAGTTAGCTACTCACTATATAGTTGGCTGGTATATCTCAGTAGCCCACCAGTGAAATGGAGAAGCTACAGACTAAACAAGGGTGAGACCAGAATAGAGAAATCACGACTCTTGAAAATCTTGTTTTCTGTAGTCTTTAAGAGCATTGTAGTTTTCCCACCAGGTGCAAAGGATGATATTTGTAATCAGAAATAAAAATGTTTTGACTACAGAAAAATCAGATGGCTCTGTCTTGCCTTGATAAGGCAGAAAGCATACCGTAGCATGCTGCCACTGTGGTGGCACTGAATAAATCAAGATACTGAGGCACTCTGAAGCTTTCACATAGGTGTGGCCAGTGTTTAGAGGATTCCACCTTTATATTCTTGTACATCAGTAGGTATTTCTCTCATTGCTTATTAAATGAAGTGCCCGTTACTATAACCTATGAACTTCCTCAACTTTTTGTCTTAGTAAGTAACTGTTATAAAACAATTACAGGCAGTTCGCGGACTTATGACACAATTGGTTCCTGAAAACTGCGTCGTAAGTCGAAACCTTGTAACTTGGAACCAATTTTTTCATAAGAAACAATGTTATAAATGGAGGATTGGTTCCTGAACCAAGGCTGGATACCCTATTTTCACCAAAAATACCCCAGAATTTTATACTCGATCAATTATAGATGAGTAATACAGCTACATTAATGTATTTATATTGTAAATAGCAATCCTATTGATTTGGAAGGACTTCTCTGAGGAGACATTGCTGGACTTTTTGAAAGGCTCTTGGTTGGACTTTTTGAAGGGTTCTTAGCTGGAGTCTTCTCAGGAGTCTTTGCTGCAAGTTTTTCTGAAGTCTTGTCTGCTTTCTTAAAGTATCCGAGGAAGTTTGGACAGTTGTTCTCCAGGGAAATGAGCAATGTAGCAAACTTGTTTGTTGGCGTGCTGTCGCATTGAATCAAGCATTGTAAAGTAGAAACTGACGTCATAAGTTGAAACAGGGTGTCAATTTATAAATGTTGTAAGTGCAAAACGTTGTTACTCAAAATGTTGTAAGTAGAGGGCTGCCTGTACACCAGAATTTGTGTGTTTTGTGCCTATTCTACCAAGAAAGAAACTACAGACATGTTCATGAGGACTGAACTGTTGCTGATCTGGGGCTTATAGCCTGGTGGTGCATTCTCACCAGGTGCACAGGTATACAGTTCCTACACTTTGCAGTTAGGGAGATCATGACTAGGTAGAAAAACAAATGTGACATCCAGATATTTTGTCCAGTCAGTGTAGAATTTTAATAGATGTCTAGTGACAAGAGTGAGGGTACAGTTTCAAATTTTATGATGCTAGCTTGTTTTCATTTCATGTGACACTGACTTCAGAAATCCTTTTTAACATTGTCACAAACCCAACTCACTTCATGTAATTAGCAAATTATTATTTTACATGGCAATATTATATAGAAAGATGCAGTTGTGTATTTATGCATATTGGTGTCGAGTACAGACTTTTGTCTGTTTTTTTTCCCCCGAGTAAATTATGACATTTCCCCATAAACCTAAGACCTGAAATCTTAGTTTAAGTCTACATAAGTTCTTTATTCTCAGTGGCAGACTCTAATTGTTGGCTTGATTAAACTCAAACTTGTGGTATGGTCAGTGGATACTTTGGGAGTACCCACCACATTTTTACTTAGAAATGTTTCTGTGGGAGAGACTTGGCAAGGAGAATATAAATACAAGGTGGGTTAACAGAAGTGAATGTGTATAGGTGAGTATTGAATGTGTAGTCTGATGGACAGTGGCTTGCAAGCTGTACCATCCAAAAATATGCTTCTTTCTTTAGTTACCTGTGAGCCTACAACAGTACGTCTCTGCTGACTGTGCATAGACTGTTTGTTCTGCTCAAATATTCCAGAATTATTTTCTAGTAATTGCTAGCTTTTTTACTCCCAAACCTTTTCCAGTAGTTTCCTTGATAACCAATATTCAGTGCTGAGTATATTAGGAAAGTGAGCAGAGGTAACATATCAAGACGTGTGCTAGAAAAAATGTTGAGTTAGAAAATGCAAGAATGACATTGTAAGATTCAAGCTTACAGAGTGATTTTTCTATCCATGGAACTCTTAAATGGTTTTCTGCTTTTGTCTTTTTTCAGAAAGTGAATGGAAAAAGTTGTTAGGCAAGGCTGGATCTTCTCACAGTGTTACTACTTTGCTACCTTTGTATACTGTACATTGATCAGTCAAAGTCCAAACTTGAAAGCTAATGTTCAAGGCCTTCTCTGTGTGGGAACCTCTGGGTAAATTAATCCAAATTAACTTTTAGATTGGATTAGTTAAACTGCATTCAGTTGTATTGTGTAGACAGTCTTATTCAGAATTAGTGGTCTTGCTTTGGGTTTACCTTAATTGATTCACAGAGTAATTCTGAACGAATTCAGAGCAATTCTGACGAAACTCTGGCTTGCATCCATAGATGCTTCTCAAGTAAATCTCAGGATGTCATCCTTCTGCTATACTCGGCTTTGGTGAGGCTGTGACTGGAGTACTGCATCCAATTCTAGGCTCCACAATTCAAGAAGGATGTTGAGAAGTTTGAGAGAGTCCAGAGGAGGGCCATGCGCACGATCACAGGACAGGAGAAGAGGCCTTATGAAGAGAGGCTGAGAGCCATGGGACTCTTAAGCCTGGAAAAGCGCAGGCTCAGGAGTGACCTGGTGGCAGTCTACAAGTACATCAGGGGTGTGCATCAGGATCTGGGGGAACACCTGTTTACCAGATGTTACCAAGGGATGACAAGAACCAGCTTTCACAATCTCCTCCAAGACCATTTTAGGCTGGGCATAAGGAAAAAATTCTTTACTGTCCCAGCCCCCCAGGCCTGGAATAGGTTCCCTCCAGAGATGGTGCAAGCACCTACTCTGGACTCCTTCAAGAAATGTTTGACTGCTTATCCTGCTTTGATCCTTTGACCTAGCTGACTTCCTGCCCTTGGGGCAGGGGGCTGGACTTGATCTCCTGAGGTCCTTTCTAGCCCTAATGTCTATGAATCTATGAAATATATGTAATATGTCTGCACAGAGGATTCATATAGTTTAATCAGTTTGAAATTTGCAATTTAAGTTGCACATTAAGCCAAGTCCTATATTGTGGATTCAAGCTGTACAGAGATTATGCAAGGCTAGGGTTACCATATGTCTGGGTTTTCCTGGACATGTCCTTTTTATTAGACCCCTGTGCTGTGTCCGGGTGGTTTTTTAAAATAACAGCAAATGTCTGGGTTTTTTGTTTTCGTGACCTAGCTGCTTCAGGCTGGGAGCAGTAGGCAAGGGGATTGGCTCTCAGGTGTCATGTGTTCCTTGTGCAGGCTCTGACAAGCTAGGTAGAGAGAGAGTGTTTGCAATGCGGGAGCTGCTTGGGCAGCGGGACTGGGGAGGCAGGGGTCTGTGGGTCCAGAGTGCGGGATGCTGGCAGCACTGGGAGGGGGCAGGGGCTGTGGGTTGGGAGTGTGGGGCACCAGTGGGGCTGGGGGGGATGGGGCTGTGGGTTGGGTGTGCAAGGCACTGGGAGTGTCAGGGGGCTGCAGTCTGGGAGTGAGGGGCACCAGCATGACTGGGGGCAGAGACTTGTTCTAGAGTAAGAGGCTGGGGGTCTGGGGCTACGGTGCCGGGGTGAAGGGCACTGGCAGGGCTAGGATCAGTGAGTCTGGAATAAGGGGCAGCAGCAGGTCTGGGGTGGTGTGGCTTGTCAGTGAGGGGCAACAGAATGGGCACTGGCATGTTGCTGCCCCTCCCACCATCATATTCCCCCTGCCCACGCAAGTGATGGGTGTCCTTTTTTGGACGTGAAAATATCGTAACCCTATAAAGATGTGTCTTGAAAATGAAAAATAGGTATTTGTGCACCTGAACGGTAGGGAGAAGGGTACATCTTGAAATGGGGACTTCCGTCTACTTAATACATCCTATTATAATATTTTCTCAGTTCCTTCTAGCATTAATTTCTATTCAAATAACGTTTCCTCCTTAAATGAAAGGCTATATTGTCTTCGAAATGAAACCAAGGGTAACCTTTGCTCATAACTGGAGTGATGAAATAAAATATATGATTTTTCATCAATTGTCCCCTCTACAGATGATGAGCTGAAGCTAAACATGGTCCCCTACGAATGTGTGTGTGAAGGCATGTCCTGTGGGGCTGAAGATCGCTGCCGGGGCCAGCAGTGCTTTTCCTCCCTCAGCATAAATGATGGCTCTAAAGTATACCAGAAAGGCTGTTTCCAAGTCTACGAACAAGGGAAAATGACATGCAAGACACCCCCATCTCCTGACCAAGCTGTTGAGTGCTGTCAGGGATACTTGTGTAACATGAATATCACCGCACAGTTGCCTACTAAAGGTGAAAGGTTAATTTTTTTTAAACAGCTCTTTAAAGAGAGAGAAATGTTTTACTGGAGGTTGCCTATACCCCAATGGTACCCAGGGTTTCGGTGATGGTCAGGCTTCTGCTGCATCATTGGACTGGGAGTAGGATGACATCGGTGTCAACCAATTCTGTGATCTGAATGGGAGGAAGTATTGGAAACTAAAATGCATAAAATAGAGATTAAGAACTCGCTCATGCTAGCTGTAATTAAAATCCATTTAAATCTTTAAAAGAGATTGGGGCTGTCATATAGGCCTTTCAGTGAATAAGTGATGGTAATGGGCTGTGTAAATATACATGAAGTTGCTTTGATTGTCCTGTGACCTCTCTTTCATTTGAGTTGACTAGAAAGGAAAATGTCAGCCTTAAATTTTATTGTTTTTAAATGATTATTTGTGAGAGTCCTTAATCTCCCTTCTTTTTCCTGTTTTCTTACCAAGGGCAAACTCTTCAGGGAGAAGCTGTGGGTTACACTGTGGAAACACTAATCCTTGTTATACTGGCTCCAGTACTAGTGCTGATAATCTTTTCTGCGGTAGCTGTGTTGATCATCAGAAAAATCCAGAAACACCATATGGAAAGGCTCAATTCCAGAGATGCCGAGTATGGCACAATTGAAGGACTCATTGCATCAAATGTTGGAGACAGTACATTGGCAGTAAGTAAGCATTGTATGTAATATAAATCACCTTAACCTTTCAGCACCTCAGTTGTTTTGGGGTTGTTTTTCTCCAGTGGTTAGGTCTACACTAGAAACTTTCTGTTTTAGTAGTGTTGATTATGGATATGACAACCCTATGTTTACAAAAGCCATAATATAAATCCAGTTTATACCAGAGTAAGAGTTTGTGTCAGCATATTTCACTTGAGGAACCGGGGTAATATATATCGACAAAAACAGTCTTGTGTACAGATAAGGTGAGAGAGAAGTTGGGGTGTCAGCGGCACTAGCAAAGAATGGAGAGTGATTCATATTGCTTTATAGAGTCTTGTGAAGTTGAATGAGCAACAATGCGTTTGTCTCCATGATGTTTAATGAATTCCTAAAAGGTAGCTAGGGGAAGGAGGTGTACAGCGGAAGGCGATTAACACCCCACAGATGTATTTATGTTGACAAGATTAGAAATTAGTGCCCTGTTCTTGCTTTGGGGACTCCTTTTGGATGCCTGGAGAACTAGTGAAATTTTAATGTCAGAAGACATGGAAACCAGAGGAGAGAAGACTTAAGGCTTTTCAAAGCTCTATTTTTGTTTGTTTTAGTTAGCATTTACTGAGGCTAAAAAAACTCAAACATCCCACATGGAAAAATCTTTAAAAAGAAAGATTCAAACCACTCCACCCACTCACTTGAGCATGAGAAAATGGTCACAATGGTTTTCTTGTTCCCTATTGAAACTAGGAAGACACAACTTGATAGACCTGACATTTCTAAAATAAATACAAAGAAGAAAAATCACCATCTGTTTGGATTAAAAAAAGTCTTTAGCCTGTGTTTTTTCACAAAGAAGCCAAAAAGCAAACATAATTCTCCCATAATATTATTGTAACACTTTAAATATGTTCATAGCTACAGAAGTGTTTAAGGAATGACTTAAGGAGGGAAAATGGGCCAAAGAACACAGATACAGAGATTAATAACGTGCTGCGTATTTGGGTTTAGTATTTCCTGTCTCTGTTTTGAGAGACCTGCTGTTCTTTGCCTGAGAGAGAAGTCAAATGATGGCCACTCAGCTTTTGCTTCCTTTTAAGAGGTGAAGTAGCTAACTGTAAAAGCTTATTTCAGTTTAACTGCTGTACGGTGCTGAGAATGAAGCTTCATTATATAGTGCAACTGAGTAGTGGTAATACAAAAAATTGCTTGTCTCGTTATACATTGATAGTGTTCATATCACCTAATTCTTTTTATTATGTACTAGTATTTTCCCTGCATTGCTTATTTAAATCTTGGGGTTTCTAATGCTGTCAGATTTGTTTGCACCTGGGATTAGTCTCCTCGGTGTAGTAAATACTTACTACAGTAAACTTCCTAACTGAAGAATGGAAAGAGTTGTGGCCTGTTAAAATCTTGTTTGTGCAGTCATTGCTGAAGATAACATTTTGCTTTCTAATACAAGTAGAAAGGAAAATGTTAGTTCGCAAAGTGGATAAAAACTTCCAATCAAGTCCAGTCCTTAAAACAAATAATTTGACAAATTATTTTGTTTTTGAGTACGCTTAAGAAATATGAGACTTCACAGGTTTTTTGGTTAAAATCTGAAAGTGCAGTTTGTCACTAATTTATGAAAAGTAATACATCAATAAAGTATTTATTGTTTTTCCCTACCAAGAGAAGTAAATAGTTCATTAGTGATTATGCTTCCATTTGTGTCTCAAGTGAGTTGTAGAGTATATAAAAATGGATGGGTATTAAGATTTTTATGTTCAGGGTAGAAACAGATGTTATCTTTCATTGCCTTTGTGCCATCATAAAAATTGCTTTATGGTGACAGAGTGCGGGCAATCTGAAGCTACCTCCATTCTCCCTCCACCCTGGGTATCTGCCCCCTTGGTTTTTAGGGGCCCTGTGCTCCCTGGTAATTCCTGTGCAGGATCGTGCCCCTTAAGCCCGGCAAGTGCCTGCCCAACTTTCCCCACTTAGAGACATGCTTTGGCAATCTCTGGGACTCGTATTTGGAAGTGGGGAAAATCAGGGGTCTCTTCTTCCAGACTCATCCAGAGATTGCTGGGGTGTGTCTGCAAGCAGAGAATGCATGGTGCATTGTGTTGTAAGATCAATGGGCGAGACAACAAGCAGCATGCGTTCCACTCACTGAAGCAGATCTGTTGTGCCAGGACATATCCTGGCACAGATGATCCACTTCATTTGGCAACGTCTGTTTTTAGCCCCTGTTGGAGTCTGTCTTATTCATGATTTGGTGAGATTAAAGTTTAAACTTTGCCACTTCCCATTATTTTTAGTACAAAAAACCCCCAAACTTTTTAAACAAAAAGATTTGTCATTTAAAAACTATCAGGAGTGTTTAATTATACATCGTACAGGAAGCATTTCAGATAGTGGTTTTATGTTTTTCATGATAAGACCCTTTCTGTAGTTACTTGTAACTTTGTCAGATTTGTATGTGGTTTTGGGTGAAACATTCTGTGCTGAGTGTCTGCTTCAGGCTAAAATTTTCTGGCTAGGAATGTTCAGCTAGAATGCCTCTTCATTTCTACGAATGAGACGTGTGCGGGGAAGTTTTGTTTATGTTAAAAAAAAAAAAAAAAAAGTGTGGGGGTGAGCAGCGGAAGAGATCTGCAAACCTCTTTTTGGGAGCAGAACGTGACATTTGGTGTAGGGACTA